TCGGACTATTGTCCTCATCCTTATTGCCACATTCACGGCGTTTCGGCCGTTGTACGCTCTGGCCTTCTTCAGGATCGGTCTATATTTCTGAGATGATGTATTGTAAGTGATTACACTATTTAGATTTTCGGACTATTGTTCTCATCCTTATTGCTAGATTCACGACGTTTCGGCCGTTGTATGCTCCGGTCTTCTTCATGATCTTTGTATATTTCTGAGTTGAAGTATTGTAAATGTTTACACTATTTACATTGTTCGGATTGTTGTCCTCATCTTCATTGTCATATTCACGACGTTTCGGTCGTTGTACGCTCCGCCCTTCTTCAGGATATGTCTATATTTCTGAGACGAAGTATTGTAACTATTTACACTATTTACATTGTTCGAACTGTTGTCTTCATCTTCATTGACATATTCATGACGTTTCGGCCGTTGTACGCTCCGCCCTTCTTCAGGTGATATACGTTGGAATTTCAAAACAAACCCTTCATTTAGTCCACGGGGCTAGCTTGTTCTAGTTATACATGTCATGGCTTTTCCTCAAGGACATATGTTCCAATGAATAAAAGCATTGGTTGAAATAATCCAGTTACCTGACCTAAAGAGTTGTGAGTTCAATAACTGGTCACTGCAGAGGTGAACAAAAGCTTAGAAAGATGAGTTACTAAAGAAAATTTAACTTAAACTGAGATATCCAGAAAAGGCATGGCATGTGGAACTAGAACAATATACCCCAGTGGAAGAAATAAAGGGTTCGGTTAGAAATTCCAATGTATATCACCTGAAGAAGGAGGAGGCGTACAACGGCCGAAACGTCGTGAATATAGCAATAAAGATGAAGACAATAGTCCGAACGATGTAAATAGTCCTTTAATGCAAGCTTATCATTTTGAAATGGTCAGGAACATATTTTCAGTTCAGGTATGCTTCTAAATTTTATTATTACAAATTAGAAAAAAAAAACAAAAACAAACAAAAAACTTATTATAAGAACGTGGGATACATTACAATTGGTCTCATATATGTAAATCTTGTTCAATGAGCAAAACAATAGTGCATCAATTTTGTCGATTTGACAAAGATAATCGATACAGTAAACAGGTGAAAAACCAGAAAAATCTTAGATAGATTGTGAGTTTCTCACAATGATTGTCCAATTCTATTAGACACAGCTTAGCGCAATTCAACTTGTTCAAACTTTTACAAGCAATATCGAGTAAATTTTTGAGTCGATTTCAGCATTGTTTTCAATATTCCTTTGGCATAATGTTGAAAAAAGAATATGAAAGAGATGAATGATAGTGTTGTGGTGTCCTCCCTCTAAAGTGTCAATGTTGGAATCTTCCGCATACTATAAGATTAGTAGGAGAGAAGGCCTTGGGGGAACAGTCGATTAGATTGAACGCTGGATCAACCGACACACACTCACTAGTTGTGTAATACACTTCTGTTGTACTCTTACTGTTTAGAATATGATATATCTGTAACAGTTGTTTTGTTATTTCTTTAACCATTTACTTGGCCACAACAGATAGAAACAACTGCTTGTGTGGCACGGTTCAGAGTCCTTTTGCCAGACATGGGGTCTTCCAGTAGCAATCTTCTTGACACAGAGCAGCACTACCATCACAAGGCACTTGGTGTAGGCCTCTGTGTTTATTCTGAAACTCCATAGGAAGATGAATAGAGGCATAATTTGGCCATCACTAGTGATAACTCCAAATACCTTCGTAATCACCGTTAGACTCATCCAACTATTTCCGAACCCTCTGTACTGTCCTCACAGTGACACTCAAAGACTCAGAAATGTTCGCATTTCGGTGCGAATACCGTTTGCAAATTTCTGTCAGAGTAAATTGCGTCATGGTGTCCTTTTTCTCAAAGACGGTGCCCAAACTGACTCTACTATACTATGCAATCGACAAAATAAAATAAAAAAAACAATACTCGAAATAAAAAATAAAAAATGGTGACAATTTACCCATCGCACGTTGTAGATTTCGCCGACCAGCTTGAAAGATATGTAGACACCCCTAACAGAACTTTGTTCAGAAAAACAAATCAAACACTCCCTTTCTGTCAATGTGGAAAGGAATGTATTTCTTATATAGGCTAAACCAGTGGTTCCCAACCGATTTGGGGCCATGCCCCACTTTAGTAATTCTAAAATTCTTGTGCCCTCAGCGCATATAAATGGCGACAATTTACCCATCGCTCGTTGTAGATTTCGCCGACCAGCCTGAAAGATATGTAGACACCCCTAACAAAACTTTGTTCAGAAAAACAAATCAAACACTCCCCTTCTGTCAATGTGGAAAGGAATGTATTTGCTATATAGGCTAAACCAGTGGTTCTTAACCGATTTGGGGCCATGCCCCACTTTAGTAATTTTAAAATTCTTGTGCCTCCAGCGCATATAAATGTCGACAATTTACCCATCGCTCGTTGTAGATTTCGCCAACCAGCCTGAAAGATATGTAGACACCCCTAACAAAACTTTGTTCAGAAAAACAAATCAAACACTCCCCTTCTGTCAATGTGGAAAGGAATGTATTTGCTATATAGGCTAAACCAGTGGTTCTTAACCGATTTGGGGCCATGCCCCACTTTAGTAATTCTAAAATTCTTGTGCCCCCAGCGCATATAAATGTCGACAATTTACCCATCGCTCGTTGTAGATTTCGCCGAACAGCCTGAAAGATTTGTAGTCACCCCTAACAAAACTTTGTTCAGAAAAACAAATCAAACACTCCCTTTCTGTCAATGTGGAAAGGAATGTATTTCTTATATAGGCTAAACCAGTGGTTCCCAACCGATTTGGGGCCATGCCCCACTTTAGTAATTCTAAAATTCTTGTGCCCCCAGTGCATATAAATGGCGACAATTTACCCATCGCACGTTGTAGATTTCGCCAACCAGCCTGAAAGATATGTAGACACCCCTAACAAAACTTTGTTCAGAAAAACAAATCAAACACTCCCTTTCTGTCAATGTGGAAAGGAATGTATTTCTTATATAGGCTAAACCAGTGGTTCCTAACTGATTTGGGGCCATGCCCCACTTTAGTAATTCTAAAATTCTTGTGCCCCCAGTGCATATAAATGGCGACAATTTACCCATCGCACGTTGTAGATTTCGCCAACCAGCCTGAAAGATATGTAGACACCCCTAACAAAACTTTGTTCAGAAAAACAAATCAAACACCCCCCTTCTGTCAATGTGGAAAGGAATGTATTTGCTATATAGGCTAAACCAGTGGTTCCCAACCGATTTGGGGCCATGCCCCACTTTGGTATTTCTAAAATTCTTGTGCACCCCCTACCCTGCAATATTTAATTTTTACATGTATGCCAATTATACATGGACATACATACACACAAAATATTTTTATGTAAGCCAACTGTATATGTATTAATACGCATTAACCTTAACACTCTCCCTCAGAGTAACTAGAAAACAATTCACTGTTAATAATTCATTCACGAATTGACCACTTATTCTGTTGGTATAGTAAGCTGAAGGGTGTACATCCAACGCATGCCCCACCAAAATATTATCATGCCCCACCGGTGAGGTATGTGCCTCATGTTAGGAATCATTTGGACAAACCCTTCGAAATCTTTTTAAAAATGCCTCTTCCACGTAGATATTGGAAACTTACACAAATTTTCCGTCAAAATGCAAACCCCAAACCTACTATAGAAGAAGAAAAACCATCCTAAAACTTTGTTTGAAAAAACAAACAAAATGAAACCATGCCATTCAGTCAGTGTACATATAGATTTTATTTATACCCCAAGTGCCTGCAACACCTTGTATGTAGGCACACTAGTAATTTGTTGGCCTAACGATTAAAATATTTGTTCTACCTAACAAATATTTATTTTTCAATATAATCTCCTATATTGCTAATGGCTTTAATTCAGTGATTATTAATAGTTACATGAAACGAAAGGTAATTCTTCACATAAGCAATGCAAAAGTTCTGCTTCACTTAAACACCATCAAATAAACTGTCATTTTATATATTTAAATGTTTTCTTCATCGTAAATATCACCATGGCCAATGGAGCCCTGGTCATCGGGTATTCTATGGAATCGAGCGGGGTTCAGGAAAATGTTTCAGCGAACAGAGACTTTCAAAGAGGAAGTATATTCATTCTGGAAGCCATATTGTTTCAGATACCTTGACTGCTTATGCAGGAACGAGGAAATCTACCATGGTATATAGTCTTATTCCTCAGCAGTATTTTGTGGATCCTATGATACAAGAACAGTCCCGTGTTTTCAACATTTATAGCCGTTGTAATAATGCTTAATTGTAATAAACGTATATACCTTTGCTCTTATTTATTACGTCGTTCAGGGAATAGCAATTTATTTTACCCCTTTTAAGTGAAGGATTACTGAACTTATCAGAATTCGGCTGATAAATACGTGTAAGGCTACTGTCTTATTGATCGACCTTCATATGTTCTAAACATTCAACTCTTACTGTGGTGAATGTGAGATATACAAAAAATATTTTGAAAAAGCAAGTACAAAAATGATAAAGTATGTCACAAAGAATTGTTAGAACTGCTCGTTAACCTCAACATATTTGGGAAGGACATTAGAATAACCCAGAACATTACTGTTAGCAATCCGCCTGCATATGGATAGAAAATGAGTTCAGTAAATATACAAAAATAGAAAGGAATATAAGACAAGGATGCATCTTCTCACCGGACTTGAATAAGTAAGACAATTCTGAGAGAATTATAAGTCCTAGCAGGATTCATTATTGGCGACCACAATCTTGATAAGATATGCAGATGACACAGTATTTCTTTTACTTTCTATACAAGACCCAAGAACCACTCAAGGTAGAGTTTAGCTTGAGATGTTAGAAGTATAGAGTTGAAGTAGACTTTAGAAGGAACTGAAAAACCAGTCCTAAAGAGGAAAGAAGGGATAAACCTTCTACTCCTGTTCAAAAGACCGGAGAGGAGAGTATCTTTCTATGAGTGCCGAGAAAAGAGCAAAGAGAGAGAGAGAGAGAGAGAGATAAAAAGGGCAGAGACGTGGAAAGTGAGAGAGAGTGAGAGTATCTTTCTATGAGTGCCGAGAAAAGAGCAAAGAGAGAGATAAAAAGGGCAGAGACGTGGAAAGTGAGAGAGAGAGAGAGTATCTTTCTATGAGTGCCGAGAAAAGAGCAAAGAGAGAGATAAAAAGGGCAGAGACGTGGAAAGTGAGAGAGAGAGAGAGTATCTTTCTATGAGTGCCGAGAAAAGAGCAAAGAGAGAGATAAAAGGGCAGAGACGTGGAAAGTGAGAGAGAGAGAGAGTATCTTTCTAATGAGTGCCGAGAAAAGAGCAAAGTGAGAGATAAAAGGGCAGAGACGTGGAAAAAGAGAGAGAGAGAGAGTATCTTTCTAAGGAGTGCCGAGAAAAGAGCAAAGAGAGAGATAAAAAGGGCAGAGACGTGGAAAGTGAGAGAGAGAGAGAGAGTATCTTTCTATGAGTGCCGAGAAAAGAGCAAAGAGAGAGATAAAAAGGGCAGAGACGTGGAAAGTGAGAGAGAGATAGTATCTTTCTATGAGTGCCGAGAAAATAGCAAAGAGAGACAGAGATAAAAAGCGTAGAGAGGTGGAAAGTGTGTGTGTGAGAGAGAGAGAGAGTATCTTTCTATGAGTGCCGAGAAAAGAGCAAAGAGAGACAGAGATAAAAAGCGTAAAGAGGTGGAAAGTGAGAGAGAGAGAGAGAGAGAGTATCTTTCTATGAGTGCCGAGAAAAGTGCAAAGAGAGATAGAGATAAAAAGGTCAGAGAGGAGGAAAGTGAGTGAGAGAGAGAGAGAAAGATAGAAAAGAGCAAAGAAAAACAGATAAAATGGAGCACAGAGAATGGGAGAGAGAGAGAGAGAGAGAGAGAGAGAGAGAAAGTGTCCCTTTATTGAGTGATCTTATAGTGTCGAGAAAAGAGGAAGGGGAGATATGGTGATAAAACGGGAGTATGTGTGTGTATGTCTGTGTATCGTTCGGTGAGTGATCATATATTATAACGTGCCGAGAAACCCGCAAAGAGAGACAAAAAGTATCAGAGAGAGGAAGAGAGAGAGAGAGAGAGAGTGCATCGTTCTATGAGTATCGAGAAAGGTGTAGAGACAGATATAAAGAGTATATAGAGTCAGAGTGAAAGAGTATCGTTCTATGTGTGATCATAGTGTCAAGAAAGGAGCAAAGAGAGACAGGGAGATAAAAAGGCCAGAGGTTGAGAGAGAGAGAGAGAGAGAGAGTATTGTTCTAAGATGAATCATGTATCGTGTCAAGAAAGGAGCAAAGAGAGATAGAGAGATAAAAAAAGTAGCAGAGAGGGAGAGACAGAGAGAGAGAGAGAGGTGGGGAGAGAACATCATTCTATGAGTATCGAGAAAGGTGTAAAGAGAGACAGATATAAAAAGGAGGACAGAAATAAAGAGAGAAAGAGTATCGTTCTATGAGTGATCATTGTGTCAAGAAAGGAGCAAAGAGAGACAGGGAGATAAAAAGGCCAGAGGTTGAGAGAGAGAGAGAGAGAGAGAGAGAGAGAGAGAGAGAGAGAGAGAGAAAGAGTATCGTTCTATGAGTGATCATACAATCGTATTGAGAAAAGAGTAAAGTGAGACAGATAAAAAAGAGCACAGAGAAAAAAAAGAGACAGAACAAATATCGTTATATGTGTGATGAGAAGCAAACTGGGGAGAGAGAGAGAGAGACAGAGAGAGAGGCAGAGAGAAGCAGAAAGAAGGACGAAATTTTGATCGTAGATTAGTAACGTGTTGTCGGTCAGAAATTTATAAATCACTGATAGCGAGCCAAATGCGGGTCGCAAATGTGCGCCTAAGAGTCGTGGGATGGTTCAGAAAAAAAAACCCAAAACCCCACAAAACTGAAACTGTGGAACTGGCAAATAATTGTGAATAATAAAGTATCGATAAATGCAGAAAAAACAAAAACAAACCATAATTCCAGCATGAGCCAAGATAGAACCTAATACAATTGCAGTTTCCTTTCTTACTTCCGACGTTGCTGTTTTGGGCGACAGACTTGTGTTAACATGATATATTTAAATGTTCTTTACGTTTTATCCAATCAACATCAGGAATATCGAGGTTTATTGATTATTAAAACTAAATTCAGCAATATATACTGGTTAAAATTAAACGAAAAAATCACTGAAATTATGTTTCCGCTCTAAAGTTTGTGAGATAAAAAAAAAAAATTGGGGTTAAAGGTCGCGACCCCAAAATGTTTTGAAATACTGTTATAGGCAAATACGACAAAAACAATGCCAAATCACGAGGGTGTTCTCCTGACTAAGAAAAAAGGAGTAGAATTAAACTAAGACAATTTGTTACGTACTTTAGGGAATAAAAAAGTAAATTCTTATCAGAGAAGGAATAGAAGGCGTAATGGATAGCGGCTCGGATTGAGGAATCGGAGTTCGAGTTCAAATTCCAGTCGAGTTCATTACGTTCACTTATGGGAAACCTATGAATCTATCTCTTCTCAAAGCTATGGGTAAAGAGCATGGCAGACTAAGTTCTATATCCTTGTCAGGTCCTTGATTGAATACCAGTCTAGGAGAAGGAAAATTTTTTTAAGTCAAACCAGCCTGGAGAGAATTGGGTTCCGTCAGGTTCTTAGCGCAGTACATGTGATACTGCTTAGACCCTTAGACCTTGTCGGGTTTCGTGATCGTGAATAGAGAGAAAATAAATATGAAGAAAACATTTGATTTTACACAAAAATATTATTTTTCAAAATAATCTCTTTCATTCGTTCAATCGTGAATAATAATAATAATAATAATAATAATGATGATGATGATGATGATGATGCTTATCCAAATGAGGGTGCACCACCCAAAATCACATGTTGATAGGCTGTACGTACCAAGAGCTTTAGGAGGCCGAGGTCTAATCTAACTTGAACTAACTCTAAAAGCTACAACTAAACAGAAGGCTTAATTATTGCAGCTCAGGACTAAAGCCTCGCAACCAGATCCTATCACTGTCACATAATCAAGGATAGAACTAAACCGAAATGCAGGATCTGCGGAAAATATGATGAAACTGTCGACTGTGTTATCTCAGGATGAAAAATAAATATACCCACAGACATAACAAGATAGCGACATGTGTGCACTGGAAGATATGTAAGAAGCACAAAATCGAAACCACTGAGAGATCGTATGAGCACCAACAAGGCACAGTTACTCAAAATAAGGATATAACTATCCTGTGGGACATGCCAATTCAAACTAACAGGGAAATAAAAGCTTATAGATCTGATATTATCATAAAAGACAAGAAATTCAAGAAGTGTATGCTTATTGACATAGAAGTACCATCTGAGAGAAACCATTCCATGAAAATTGTTGAGAAATTGTCCAAATAGAAGGGCCTGAAAATCGAGATTAACATGTTATGGGGAATGAAGACAGAGACTGTACCAATAGTAATCGGAGCTCTGGGCCGCGTGAGAAAAGGAATGGACAATTTTACTAAACTTGTCCCATGTAATATCAACGTACAGGTTACCCAGAAAATCGACCTACTAGGAACATCTCATATACTAAGAAAAGTGCTATCAATTAGATGACAATTCTCCTATAGAGTCTAAGAACCATAATTTAAACCCGGCTCTACAAAATACAAAGTAGGAAACAAAACATACACAAATAATAATAATAATAATAATAATAATAATAAAATCAAGCGGAAATGTTAAACTAAAGCAAATAATATCTTATAAATCATGGAAATATTTAAACAGAAACTGTAATTAAAGGTACAGAGAACAAGACGATATAAAAAGCATTGTAGGTTCTATCGACAAAATAAGTTATTCAAAATGGACCTCATGAATTTTACAGGGAAATTGAAAAATTTATAGAAGTCAAAATGTTACAATTTATTAAAGAAGTGCAAAAATTACCCAACTTTTGATCCTATCATCTGTAATAAATCCACAGAACTCTGGCGCAAACTTTACCAATGCTAATTAATAACCTCAATGAAAATTCAGAATGGACCACTGAATGTATTACTACTAAAAACAGGTGAAACAGACGATTAAAAAAAATTAAGCAAATGACATGTCTCTTCCCCACATATAAATTAATCACATTTCCCCTGACGAGCTATACTTATGCTTTTCTTTACGAAAAAAAAAATCCTTCCTCTGCAACAAAAGGGATGTCGAAAAAGTTCATATGGATCAACTCTAATAAATAAAATGATCCTGGAAAAGTGCAGGAAAAGAGTTAAAAATCTCAACAGAGCTTGGATAGATTATAGTAAAATCTTTGATCTTGGTGTCACACTCTTGGACACGTAAGGTTTTAGAAAAGTACAAAGTCCCCTCGGCGATAATACTTAAATATGGAACTGTGGAAAATATTATTCCTAAATCATATCAAAGGTACTTCCAATTCAAATTGTATGAATATCTGACAATGAATCTTTAAAGGAGACTTCCTGTCACCCCTTCTGTTTCATCTGTTTTTAATCCGCCTTTCACCTGAACTGAACAGTAATAAATATGGATACAAAGTAAAAAAAGAAAGTGATTAATTACCTATTCTACATGGATGGTATCAAACTCTTAGGCAAAGATGACAGGAGACTCCCTGTCACCCCTTCTGTTCCGTCTGTCCTTAATCACCCTTTCACCTGAACTGAACAGTAATAAATATGGATACAAAGTAAACAACAGAAAGTGATTAATTACCTATTCTACATGGATGATATCAAACTCTTAGGCAAAGATTACAGGAGACTCCATGTCACCCCTTCTGTTCCGTCTGTCCTTAATGCCCCTTTCATATGAACTGAACAGTAATAAATATGGATACAAAGTAAACAAAAGAAAGTGATTAATTACCTATTCTACATGGATGGTATCAAACTCTTAGGCAAAGATGACAGGAGACTCCCTGTCACCCCTTCTGTTCCGTCTGTCCTTAATCACCCTTTCACCTGAACTGAACAGTAATAAATATGGATACAAAGTAAACAAAAGAAAGTGTTTAATTACCTATTCTACATGGATGATATCAAACTCTCAGGCAAAGATGACAGGAGACTCCTTGTCACCCCTTCTGTTCCGTCTGTCCTTAATCACCCTTTCACCTGAACTGAACAGTAATAATTATGGATACAAAGTAAACAAAAGAAATTGATTAATTACCTATTCTACATGGATGATATCAAACTCTTAGGCAAAGATGACAGGAGACTCCCTGTCACCCCTTCTGTTCCGTCTGTCCTTAATCACCCTTTCATATGAAATGAACAGTAATAAATATGGATACAAAGTAAACAAAAGAAAGTGATTAATTACCTATTCTACATGGATGATATCAAACTCTTAGGCAAAGATGACAGGAGACTCCATGTCACCCCTTCTGTTCCGTCTGTCCTTAATCACCCTTTGACCTGAACTGAACAGTAATAAATATGGATACAAAGTAAACAAAAGAAAGTGATTAATTACCTATTCTACATGGATGATATCAAACTCTTAGGCAAAGATGACAGGAGACTTCCTGTCACCCCTTCTGTAACGTCTGTCCTTAATCCCCCTTTCATATGAAATGAACAGTAATAAATATAGATACAAAGTAAACAAAAGAAAGTGATTAATTACCTATTCTACATGGATGATATCAAACTCTTAGGCAAAGATGACAGGAGACTTCCTGTCACCCCTTCTGTTCCGTCTGTCCTTAATCCCTCTTTCATATGAAGTGAACAGTAATAAATATGGATACAAAGTAAAAAAAGAATGTGATTAATTACCTATTCTACATGGATGATATCAAACTCTTTGCCAATGATGACAGGAGACTCCCTGTCACCCCTTCTGTTCCGTCTGTCCTTAATCACCCTTTCATATGAACTGAAAAGTAATAAATATGGATACAAAGTAAAAAAACAAAGTGTTTAATTACCTATTCTACATGGATAGTATCAATCTTTTTACCAAAGACGACAATGAGTTATAGCGTCTCCTCAATACTGTAAAATGTTTCACTGATTATATCGGCATGGATTTCGGATTAGATAAATGTACACAAGTTACAAACAAT